TGCAGCATGGCCACAGAAGATAGGAAGACAAAGCCTATTTGGAATGCACTAGACAAATTGCTTCATAAGAGATTACCACAAGAGCCATGTGATAATCAGCAGCCAATAGGAGAAAGACCCTGAAGGCACATCAGGGATCTTCCAATAGCCCTTCACAGCACAATGCCATGGGAAGTGTAGAGGTGACAAACTGTTTCAAAGATCTTCCAGAGAAGAATCCTTTCAGGAAAGATCTCGGGCCACACTGCTTGCCCAGGGCCAACTCCAGCACCTTCCTTGCCAGCAAAGTGTTCCAAGTTGCTGTAGCAAGGGCCGGAATGGATTCAATATGCATCCTGTTGGGGACAGACTACAGTGCCAACCATAGGATGCTGGGTTGCAGGTGTGCAGAATGGGAGAGTTGTGGGGTTGTGGCAGCTTCCACCAAGGTTTCCAAGGAAAGCCTGTGAGGTCAGACAGATGGTGTTCCAGGTTTGGAGATCTAACAGGGAAAAACCTAAAGAAGCTGTGGGGCTGAAACACAATGGAGAGACCAGGGTGGAAATCATACCTCATGGATCATGAATTTCTCAGCCCTGAGCTCCAGCTTTCAAGGGCATTTGCAGCTGAGCTTCACAGTCTAAACCCAGGAGTAGAACATAGACTGAAATAGCCTTGACATCATCAGAATTCCTGTAAAGGACACGTAAAAGTGTTCTGGTATCACAAGGGAGTCCAGGAGACAAAGAAGCAGGGGTTTCTGATCTTGACCATGACACAGAGGGATTGGGAGCTAAAGAGCCTGGGAGGTTAAGTGACTGGGATTGAACTTCTGGTGTTGTCATCACTGGTGGAGAAACAGGTACAGCCCCAGTCTCACAGAGAATGCGCTGGATATCTTACTTCTCTTTTGTGACTCTACTGAACACACTTAGCACTCCCTGGGGACTGCAAAGGACAGGACTATTTTTTACCACTTTGTAGTATTCCATAGTGTATATATAATATAATTTATTTATCCAGTCTTCGATTGATGGACATCAAGCTTTATTCCGTATCTTATCTAGTGTGATTGATCAGCAATAAACATGGGGGTACAGATCACTCTTTCATATGCTTATTTCATTTCCCTTGGGTAAATTCCCAGGAGTGGGATGGCTGGGTCATATGGTAGGTCCATACTCAGATTTTTGAAGTATCTCCATACTGTCTTCCAATGTGCTTGCAGCAGTTTACTTTCCCATCAACAGTGGGTTTTAAAGTACCCACAAAAACAAAGTCTGAAACTAACATGTATAGCATTTCTAACACCCCTATTTCCAAAACGTTTAGAAAACAGGTAACGTTCAAATATGCCTCCATTTTCGGTTAGCCATTATGGAAGCATACAGAATTCTCCATCTATACCATGTCACAAATTTGGATTTGTGAATTCAAAATCAGCATAATCAGGGTAGGAATATGATCTATCAGTTTAAAATATTAGGAGGCCAGTATGCTGTTTCAAACACCTGGGTTTGGTCCCTGGCTCTGCTTCCTAACTTCATTTTTTAGTTTATTTTTTTGAACTTTAATAAAACCAACCTAGAAACTATATAAAATTCTTGTGTGCAAAGAGTAAGCACAGTTCATGTCTTCAGATCTTTTTTTTTTTTTTACAGGCAGAGTGGATAGTGAGAGAGAGAGAGAGACAGAGAGAAAGATCTTCCTTTTGCCGTTGGTTCACCCTCCAATGGCCGCCGCAGCTGGTGTGCTGCGGCCGGCGCACCGCGCTGATCCGAAGCCAGGAGCCAGGTGCTTCTCCTGGTCTCCCATGGGGTGCAGGGCCCAAGCACTTGGGCCATCCTCCACTGCACACCCGGGCCACAGCAGAAAGCTGTCCTGGAAGAGGGGCAACCGGGACAGAATCCGGCGCCCCGACCGGGACTAGAACCAGGTGTGCCGGCGCCACAAGGTGGAGGATTAGCCTATTGAGCCGCAGCGCCGGCCCTTCAGATCTTAAAACAGACTTTACATCTTAGGGTCTGCATGATAGTAATGCCCTTTGACTTCAGTTTAATCTTGCTTGATGCTAGGAATCAGCTAGCAATGGAGATGACTCAAGTGATTGGATTCCTGTGACCCATGTGGAGGGTCTGGATTGACCTCCAGGTTCTCACACTTAACCTGGCCTAGTACTGCCATTATAGCCATTTGGGAAAGAGTCTGGAAGGAGTGGAGGTTGAGCTAAGTGAGTAAGACATCAGTTCATATGTCCGTGCCCCTATCAAAATATCTGAGTTCATATCTGGCTCTGGCTCCTGACTAGAGCTCCTTACTAAAGCATTTCCTAGGAGGCACTGGTGTTGGCTCAAGAACTTGGTCTTCTACCACCAATGCTGTATGCTTGGATTGAGTTCCTTGCTCCTGGCATTAACTGGTGGCAATAAAAACTAGCACTTTTTGAGAAGTAAACCAGCAATGGAAAATCTCTCTCTGCCTCCCTTTCTCTCTCTCATTATATTTACCTCCCTGCCTCCCTCCACTTCTCTATAATTACTCTGACTCTCAAATGAATAAATAAATTTAAGATAATTTCAAAAATAAAAGATACTGGAAGAGGGAGAGACTTTATACTGAGGCCAAAGAACTGATAAATGGCTGACTCCAAACTCAAACCCGAACTTCCTATTATACTACACTGACTGGGAACACATATGTCAGTAACAGAGTGGGAACCCAGCAAGGCATACTAAAATCTCTCTAAATACTTTCTTACCACTATTTCTAGATGTTGGGAAATATAAAAAATAATCCCTGAGCTATGCGATAAATCATGAACAAATCTGGAATTGTGATCAGCCCCATAATCCTCCAGGCAAAATTGGATTATGTGTAAGCGTAGGATATTAATAGACCCATCAGAAGTGATACCTTCACAGCAGCAATGGACTAGGGTGACAGGCAGGAGACACACAGACTGCCTCATGGTGGTTTATTGTGTTTTAAGATTTCAGCTTTACTCAAGGTCCCTGTGCTTGTGATATGAATCACAGTCTTTAAAGACTGCAGTCTTTAAAGATTTAATTCTTCTAACACACTACCCTGATATGTCTTTATATTTATTTTGTATTTATTTCATTTCCATCTCTAATGCTTTGTAATTTGGGGAGTGTGAGTATTGTCTAAATGATAAATTTATACATAAATACATTATTACTTTTCATGAGCATGAAAAGAGATTTCAGCTTTAGAAAACCATGAGAAGGATTGGGTATTATAGCAAAGATTTAAGCTGCCTCTGGTGACACTGCACCCTGTGTTGGACCATTGGTCCATATCTGAGTACAGATCCCTATTCTGCCAACTTTGCTTCCATACAGCTTTCTGTTAATGAAGCCTGTGAGTCAGCCAACGTTGATGAGATTTATCAAACCACCACTACTAGCCACCTGAAAGACCTGCATGGAGTTCTCAGCTTCCGGCCTTAACATGGTCCATCCATGGCCACTGGGGCATTGGAGAGTGAACCAACAGGTGCAAGTTCTCATTCTCACTTGCTCAATCTGTCTCCTGCTATTTTTCTTCTCCTTCTTCTCCCTCTCCCTCTTACTCCTCCTTCTCTCTCCACCTCTCCCTCTTCATCTCCTTCTGTGTTGCTCTGCCTTTCATATAGATGAAAAATAAATAAATCAACATTTTAAAAAGAGAAAACCAAGACAGATCAGTCCTCCAGACCAGGAACTGTGGGGCCAAGGATCCCAGGCCTATATGTGCCCAGTGAGCCTCAGGAAGGCTGCCCACAGAGGCTCATGGCAAATCCCAAGACCTGGCTTCCAGGTCTCCTTCCTCAGGGAAAACTGATCCATGAATTACTATCAATCCCCACATCTCCAGTCCTCACAGGGTATCAGCCTGAGGCATCTCTGTTCTGTCCCCAAGGGTTCTATTCATGTGTCCTAGAATTAACTCCTTGAGTCTCAGTTTATTCTACGAGTTTGATCATCGTGTCTTTGCCCCATCCATGTAGATCCACAGGTGTAGTGTCTTAATAGGAAGATAGGATGAGGGGACCCAAAATCTGAGAAAACACACATCAGTTATGGGATGTATGCTCACAAGATCACACATTGCCCCCCTTCTACCTGAGTGATAGCTGACCAGGTTTGTTTCAGTTACCCACTCTGAGTCCAGAGAACTGTCCTTCCATCATCACCTTACCCACATAGGTACCTTAAAACATTGCTGAAGATCTTACTTAGTGAGAATTATCTGCAGAGAAAACAACTGCTACCCTTGTCTTGATGACTTTGTTCCTCAACAAGGTTCATTGTTTAACTTTGACAGGGATACTTTAAGAAAATTCAAATTTCATTCCACCAAGAGAAAAGTTAGGGAGTGGTGTCACCAAGCTGGCATAGCAGGAACTTTTGAAGGCTCCTTACCCTCACAAAGATACAGAGCAAGCATAAATTTGGGGAGAAATGTCTTTTTCTTTTTGGGAAATGAGGAATGAGTTGAACTCCTTGTGGAACTCAGGAGAAACTGTAGATTTTTCCAACAAATTAAGGAATTCTGGACACCCTTGCATAGAATACCTTGATCCCAGGGCAACACCAAAGATCAGGAAAGCTCATAGCTTCACTCAGGCTTAGGAAGGGCTCAGACCTCATGTCCAGTTCTCACATTTCCTCGGTGAAATAACAACAGGTAACCTCCATACTGAAATCTTGGAACTGGGATGGTTCTGGTAGAACCTAGTAACCCAACAAAGAACTGAGGTAGTGACTTGGGTTGGTAGATACCACTGACCTTTGTTTCTCAACAAGGATGAGTCTAGAAAACACAGCTCATGAGCTGTGCAGAGAAAGAAATCTTTGATACATGCAACCTGCACCCCAGAATCTATTACGGGGGAGTAAAGCAAGCTGCCCAATTGCACACCCTTGACTCTGTTAATGCATTGTCTACATTTGCACCCACAACCAGGTGGGAGGGGCCTCTAAAACCTTGACTTCTATGAGAGAAGAAAAAGGAAGCTTCTTGCAGTGGGTTTATTTAAATTAACTATACTTCAGGTTTCAACAACGTCTTCCATATTACTGATCAAAGGGGAAAGTCAAAAGGAAAAGTTGAGATTTCTGCCAGTCCACAGTCGGGTTGTGAGCATCGTCTGGATTCCTCTGAGCCAAAGTTCTTGTGACAGTTAATACGCAGCACAGTAAAGGCTGTCATATATCGTATGCTGCAAAACAAAAGCAGACAAATCACCTAGGCTTTCAACACTCTCTTTGAAAAGGAAATATTGATATCCAGATGCTTCTTGTCATTTCCCTTGCCTTTGTTTAAAAAGGTAAATATCTAAGAAAACTAGGACTGAAAGCAAAATTAGAATCATGTTCTCACTTATTCTACAACACAGAGAGACACTTTTGGATTCACAGCAGAAGTTGGTGTTTTGGGAATCTTCCCTACCATTGATAATGTCAATATTTCTTTTCTCCAAAAGAACTGTTCTTTGCAATAATTTAGCCAGTACAAATTCTGTCTGTTCTTTTGCTTGAGGACCTACACACTGGAGCTGTTTCTGAAACCACTGTTCAATATAGGGTTTTCCAACCTCTGCTTTCATACAAGGTATGATGTTTCAAGGTTCCTCAATGGCCTTAGATTGAAAACTATTATAATAGTCTGGGGATATCCATCATTGACTTTGGAACCTACAATTAAAACAGCACTGTGCTAGGAATTATTCCACTAATCTGTGTCTTCCTTTGTTGGTTGTTTGGTATTGAGTACACTTTTTAAAAATATTAATTCATGGCCGGTGCCGCGGCTCACTAGGTTAATCCTCCGCCTTGCGGTGCCGGCACACTGGGTTCTAGTCCCGCTTGGGGCGCCAGATTCTGTCCCGGTTGCCCCTCTTCCAGGCCAGCTCTCTGCTGTGGCCAGGGAGTGCAGTGGAGGATGGCCCAGGTGCTTGGGCCCTACACCCCATGAGAGACCAGGAAAAGCACCTGGCTCCTGGCTCCTGCCATCGGATCAGCGCGGTGCGCCGGCCGCAGCGCGCCGACCGTGGCGGCCATTGGAGGGTGAACCAAGGGCAAAGGAAGACCTTTATTCCACTAATCTGTGTCTTCCTTTGTTGGTGGTTTGGTATTGAGTACACCTTTTAAAAATATTAATTCATTATCACATTTAATTTTTGTTCATAGTTATCATCTATGTTCCCATTAAACCAAGGTCTTTTCACTGTTTACTTGTTAAAATCTTATTTGATGAAGTATTAAGCCTTTTTACTGTAATGTAATTTAAATATGTTATTTCAGGGGGCTGGCGCCGTGGCTCACTTGGTTAATCCTCCGCCTGCAGTGCTGGCATCCCACATGGGCACTGGTTTCTAATCCCTGTTGCTCTTCTTCCAGTCCAGCTCTCTGCTGTGGTCCTGGAGGGCAGTGGAGGATATCCCAAGGGCTTGGGCACCTGTACCCTCATAGGAGACCAGGAAGAGGCACCTGGCCCCTTGTTTCGGATTGGCACAATGCTGGCCGTAGCGGCCATCTGGGGAGTGAACCAACGGAAGGAAGACCTTTCTCTCTGTCTCTCTCTCTCTCTCACTGTCTATAGCTCTACCTGTCAAATAAAAAATATGTTATTTCAAAAACTAAAAATAGACAAAGAAATGGAGACATAAGGGAGGTGTCATGTAGATAACGTGTGGGAAGGGAATATCATTTTGTTCTTAGAATTGAATCTGCAAATCACACTGAGTCTGTGAAAACCTCATTGATCATTAAAATTACAAAAGATTTCAAAGAAAAAGGGGAAAATGTGCCCATTTAATATTTAACTATATTGTTGTGGTTTTTTTCTGCAGAAATTGCTTTAGCTCTCATCATCAATGTATTAATTACAGTTTTTGTATTATTATTACTGATATTTCACATGTTTAGGAGCCACCGTATTATCTGTAAACTGTATATTCATAAGATTTGTCCATTTGCTTTTAGTTGTCTCTTTTGGTATAACTTTAAAAATATAAATATGAATTCATTTATTTTTAAGGAAGAGTAACAGAAACAGAGGGAGACACAGAGCTATAGAGATCTTCCATCTATTGATTCCTTCTCCAAATGCCTGCAACAGCTGATTCTCCCATGTGATTGGAAAGAACTGACTGCAGCCCAGGCACATTACCAGGAAGTGCAGTCAGAAGTGGGACTACCACCACACACTCAAATCTGAGATGTGGCCTCTGAGGAGGCAGCTTAACCTGTTCACCTACCAGGCCTGCCATATAAATACATTTTAACTTTTTAATTTATTTGTTTTTACTTTATTTGAAACCAGAGGTGGGGGGAGGGGAGAGAGGGAGGAAGAGAGAGAGAGAGAGAGAGAAAGAGACAGAGAGAGAGAGAGAGAGACAGCAAAAGAGAGAGAGAGAAAGACTCATACAGAGGGATCTCCCATTTGTTGATTCATTTCCAAAATACTTGTAACAGCCTAGTCTGGGTCAGGCTTAAGCCAAGACTCTGCATCTTAATCTGGGTTTCCCACTTGGAAGGCAGGGTCCTAAGCATTACAGTCACAACTTCCTGACTCCCAGGATGCAAATTAACTGGAACCTGCAATTGGAGGCAGAATCAAGATTCAAAACTAACCATTAAAATATAATATGTGGGGGCTGGCGTTCCGGCTCACTAGGCTGATTCTCCGCCTTGCAGCGCCAGCACACCGGGTTCTAGTCCTGGTCAGGGCACCGGATTCTGCCCTGGTTGTCCCTCTTCCAGACCAGCTCTCTGCTGTGGCCTGGGAAGGCAGTGGAGGATGGCCCAAGTGCTTGGGCCCTGCACCCGCATGGGTGACCAGGAGAAGCCCCTGGCTCCAGGCTTCAGATCAGCGTGGTGAACCGGCCGCAGTGCACCGTCCGCGGCGGCTATTGGAGGGTGAACCAACGGCAAAAAGGAAGACCTGTCTCTCTGTCTCTCTCTCTCTCACTATCCACTCTGCCTGTCAAAAAAATAATAATAATAATATGTACGAATCCTAAGCAATGTCTTAATTACACAAATCAACCATTCAAAGTGGATTGTTCAAGATAAAATAACCCCTCCATCTTAAATTGCAGGCATTACTCTTTTTCTCCCTACATTTATGACATAATTCTAAATTTTCTATTATGTAATGTATTCATAGGATATTTGGATATTTAGAAAAACTTTTAAAAATCTCAAGAACACTGAAATTTAAAAAGCATTTGCTGTCATTACTCTTGATGTCTGCTTGCAACAATTCTTTCAGCCATGGTTCTTTCACACCCATGACCTCTAGTTGTACATGCATGAGATCCATATAGAAATGTTGCATTGATTTCAGTCATGTATGCAAAGAAATCATGGTTCGTGGCATGTGCACTTGAATTCTTTATATAAAATGAAGCAAGAGCTGCACACATGTTGTTTGCTGTACTCTGAGAACTTTTAAGGACTTTTCTACCATTTATTTTGAAAGAGGAAACTTATTTTTGGTTGTTCCTGTGAATGTGTGTCACTTCAGGTGTCACATTTTCATCTTAACAGAAAATGTGTCTCTCCCAGTGTGTGTGTGTGTATGTGTGAGGGCCTCTCTGTGCACCCTGAATCTATATGTATGAATTTGTGTGTTTCTGTGTGCATGGACCTGAGAGTGAAGGTTAGGTAAGGCGTTTCTGAAGTGTTCTTTTCCCTGTTTGGCCATTTTCAAATATCATTGTTTGAACATTCCTGAAATGAAGTGTCAAATCACCCTAAGGACAAGATTAAACTTATGATAGCTGGACAGATCTATAGTTACATAACCTTTTCACACGCTGTTTGTCATTATTGATGATAAATTTAGAACCTGCTCCTTCCTCGTCTGTGATTTACACGACAGAAGATGAGAAAATCAACATACCACCATGACTCGGATGTTGGCCAGAGTCTCATTGCTCTGGCTGAGGAAGCACTCCTTGAACTCCTCTACAGCTGCTTCGGTTTGCTCAGTGTGGATGAACCTCTGAAGATCTGCTTTGTATTCCTCCACAGAAACCGATGGATCGATGGTCTTTTCCACGACGCTCTCCAGAAGAACGCAACCAGAACCTGGGGAGTAAGCATGACAACATGTGCTCAATTCCAGGAGGTGGGAGCGCACTTCTGTGGAGTCCTAGTGATATTAGTCATCTTCATACATGGCCATGGAAACGTGGATTCAGAAAGCTTTAGGAGCAAGGTCCAGTATTCTCAATTCTAGGACAGGAAATGTAGGCTCTTGGGGTCACCTCTGATACTGACAATGCTTTTCCTGACCTCCTCTTTTCTGCCAAAAGAAGACAAACTGTACAAATTAGTTTAATTAAGCAGTTCAAGAAATGATATGTTCTGATTTGGTGGAGTACATATAAGACACCTTTTGTGTTTATTCAATATCATTAGACATAACACTAGTCTCAGTGGCCCACAAAAGCCCAAGTGTTAAAGTATTGCCAATTCTTATGTTAATGGACATTGATTAATGATTAAAGAATGAAAGGTGGAAATTTTATGCGATTATGATATCTGAGTGTTGTGCCTTTGGAAAATGCTTATATTGGATTAAAATGACGGGGTAGAGTCACCAAGATCAAAGCATGGTGGTTTTAAAAGATAGATACGGTGGGGACTGGCATTGTGGTGTGGCGGGTAAAGCCAGGCATGCACTACTGGCTAGTTAGAGTTCCGGCTGCTCCTCTTCTGATCCAGCTCTCTGCTATGGCTTGGAAAAATAGTAGAAAATGGCCCAAGTTCCTGCGTCCCTGTACCCACATGGGAGACCGGGAAGATGCTCCTGGTTCTTGCTCTGGATCAGCACAGCTCCAGCCATTGTGGGCATTTGGGGAGTGAACCAGCAGATGGAAGACCTACCTCTGTCTCTGCATCTCCTTCTTTCTCTGTGTAACTCTGACTTTCTAGTAAATAAATAAATCTTTTTTAAAAAACAAAGGCAGGTACCAGCAGAGGCAAAAGGCCTGAAATGCTCCCACAGTTCTCTCCTAGGAGCAAAAACTTTAAAGGGAGAGAGAGAGAGAGACGGAATACAGCATGCTTTCGGTCTCACTGTGCTTCCGAGCTCAGGATGAGACACTGTCTGAGTAATGATGCGCCACCATCATCAAATGCCAAACCCACAAGCTCCTGGATTTTAGAGTGTGAGCATTCAAAACCATGAAAATAGATAAATGTTTACATATTTATAAATTTCTTCCTACTTGTCTCAAGGATTCTTCAGTAAAGTAAGGAAAAGTTTACTAATATAATACTTCAACATTATAATTCAGTGCAATCAGACAGATGTCCAGCACTGCAGAAGTAGGAGGAGTACAATAGTGTCCATTAGTTCTATTCACTCTGTTATTTCTAAGCAAAAAAAAAAAATACAGAGAATTTGAGCCTCATGAAAGAATCTGTTGTGGATCACTCTGTTCAGGAGAAGAAAGAGCTCAGGGCTTGGATCCCTCTAAATGAATTCTTTCATCAGCTCCAGGATTTTTTATTTAGTTGAATGTAATCCTATCACTTTTAAAACCCATCTTCACTGTTATAAGCAATAAGTGAAGTGGGCCCAGAACTGATGTGGGACACTGGGTTACACACTGCAGCCTAAGGCTTCCCCTGGGAGGTCTCCAGCTTCCTCTCACAGTGAAGAGATTCTGTGAGTGCCTACTTCAGGAAGCTCCATTGCATTGCAATGTCATGGTGCCATCAGTATTGCCCTTTCATGCTCTCCTGAAATACTCAATTCTAATATTTAACCCCAAGATCCATCCTGGTTTTCATGGTAGCTATATAAATGGTGGAGCACAATGAATGGCAGCAAAACATAACACAGTTTCAGTGCAGGGGAAAAGACCCTGAGAAAATAGTTCTTTCTTGGAACTAATGGTAATTTGTAGGTCAATTAAACCTGGCCCTTTCTACTGAAGCTCACCTGGACTGGCACTAAGGGATTGGCTGGGACCCTTGGAGGCCCAGTTAACAACGTCTAGTCCAAAGGCAGCCCTCCCTGTACAGAACTCACCTGCATAGCAGTAAAGGGGGAGGGCAGCAAGCAGGAGGACCATAACCACCTTCATGTTGAGGCTGCTGTGTTTGGCTCTTCCCTGTAGGTGACAGGAATCAAGGAAGTCACTCTGGAGGACAGCACCCAGAATTGCTCTATTTATTCCTCCAGTGGTCACTTAGCCCCTCCCACAAATGAAAGAATGTGTCATGGGATTGGACAAAAAATAGCCTCCCCAAATGGAACCCAGCCAGTCTAATCTGTTTGTAGAGACCTGGAGAGAGCAAATTTGGACTCAGGACAACATTTAGACTGTCATCGTGACACTTCCTTTGGGAAAATGAAGTCGGAATGTTTTTTAAAATAAGTAAAACACAGCAGTGTGTTGTCCTGTGTTAGCATTTTTATTATTAATTTGGAATTCAAATGATTCTCCTTCTCTTCTCTCCATTTCTATTCTTGTATCAATTGGCTTTCACATCTACCTCTCCTTAATCTTCATAGGAAACAAATCTGTAACCTGTATGTCTGGTATCCTTTAATCAAACAGCACAAATGGTTGCAAGAATGTAAAATTCCAAACATGCAATTTCCGTTTTAATAGTGTTAAAATGCTAAGAAATGCTCACTGAAATATGAATGGAAAGCCACTCCATAGCGCCACTCAGTGGCAGGGACTGCGGGTTCTTTAATATGTACTACAGCAATCCCTTAGGGAGCGTGACCATTCAATTTACTTGATATGGTGCATCTTGCAGGGTGAAAGGCGACATGAAATGCACCTCATGGTCCTGAGAAAGGTGCAGTGTGGAGCTAACTCCCTGTGAGTGGATCCCATCCTTTCTCCAAGTTTCAGGAAGTGTAGTACAGAGATAATTCAACTTCCCTGGGACACTGCTACTAAGTAGCTGACCCAGAATATGCAGTGCGGTGTTCTTGCTCTATAGACCTATATGTGACTTGTCTTACTTCATGGTTATGACCACCAGGTACCTCCATGATGCCTCAGATGGATCTTTGTGACTTCGATTTTCACACTTGTGATACGTGAACTCCTGGTTTGTATCTGCAGAAGTCCCATAGATTTTTGCTTCAGAACACTGATCCCTATACACTCCCTTCACCCAAAGGCACCACTCCTTGGTCTCTTTCTTATTTCCTCCACCTCTGTTTATCCCCTCATTCACAGGACCCCTGGCTCTGAGAGTAACCCTCTCTCAACATCTCCAAAATCCTGATCACTGGCCTCTTCAAACTATTTCTGATGCGTTGAGGGTGCAGGCCTTGGACTCTCCTTTGTTTAAAAAAGTCATAAAATAGTGGCCAAGAATAATTGTGGCATCAGTTGGGGGAGTAAAATTTAGCTTAACAAAAACTTTGCTGATTATGTTGCATGCTTTCTTCCTAGGTTTATTGAGAAACAAGACCTCATTTATATATAAAGCCTTAGTAAAGACAAAAATCACAGTACACTCTAAAACCAGGCATCAGCTTAACAGATTAACATCTTGGGTCATCTCCCAGCCACATTTCATTTTCTGACTGAAAATGTGGGTGTCTTGTATGAAAGACGAAGGTGAATGGAGAATTCAGTTGAGCCCTTTTCATGCTGGGCCTCATTCATTTCAGGTCTCCTTGTCTACCAGTGATCTTACCTTACGTGCCAATCCAGATCTATCTAATGTCTTGGGATCACTACCAGATTAGGAAGCAAGCCAAGGTCAGGAGCAAGGCACTGACTAATCCTTCTTCACTACTTCAGAAATACCTAAACTTTACAAAGCTTGACCTTATGTGATATGTGCACTCAAATATTTGTTGTACTTATGTATTTAATCCTTATATCCTTATTAAAGTGATTTGGTTCATTAGATATATTACATCAACCTGTTCAGCAAGGCGTGAATAATATGTTATTCCAATTCCATGCCAATTTTTTCCTGTTGTTCATAGTCTTCCACATTTGTGGGCTGCTTCTTCTCCTTAGGACAAAAGAAGTGGTATAAGGGGCAGTTGACATGAGCATTTGCTCTGCTAAAGTAGTTCTGCTCAGTGCGTTCCTTCAATCTACCCAGGAAGGTAGTAATTTCTGTTCCAAAACCATTGGAGTCTGCAATGATGACATAAGGCTTGGAGTGAAATGAATCTGAAAGTGCTTCTGCACTTTCAAACCTCGCAGTCTGATCTTAAGCTCTCATTAGTGTTTTGGTCTTTACTGTGCTGTCTGTTCTTCCTCTTCTTACTTGCTGTTCGTCTTTCACAAGGGGCTTTTTGTTTGGACAAAATTTACTAATAATATCAAATCACCACTAAAAAACTTTCTAAAAATTTTAACGGCAATTCCATTTATTCAATTTCAGAAATTGGCTCTGGTATAAATTTATGAATTTCTTTTTCCTTATTTCATTTGTGGCTACTTAGAATGTTCCTTCCACTTCTTCAAAGGTTGCTCAGAATCAGTGGAGTACCTAGTTCTTTAGCGCAGGAATTACTGATCAGTGAGTGAGGTTGACATTTGTGCCCTGGAGGATGTAGATTTGAATCCTGGAAAGAATATCTGCTCATGATGGCTTTGTGCAAGTGACAGTGCTTGTGCCATGGAGCTTTCTTCAATTCTTTTTAAAATGTATTAATAAAATCATACTGATGTTCCAGAGCTGTAAAATGCTCTGGATGAAGTTTCTATCATGTGATCAAATATGAAAATTTAATGAATTATTAAATGTTTGTGGAAGTAGTTTCTGGGAGCTTTGGGATCCACAAGGAGGGAAGGCCTATACTTCTGGGAATGGGGAGTCCCTACCTGTACTTCCAGGGAAGAAAAGTCATTGCCAAGGTCCCCGTGGATGCCTAAAGGATCAGACCCGCCTCAACCTTTAATCCCCATGCCCTGAATCTATAAAAGGATTCCTCCCAATCTCTGATGCGCGACTTCCCCAGCCCCCGCTCTGTTGGGACCGGGGAACCTCGCCCAGGAGCAGAATCCCAATAAAAGCTTGTGAATTAATTGATTCGTCTGCTTGGGAAGACCTGTTACGTGCTGGACACCTTGCAGCTTCTATCCATGCACCATTCATCCATACATCCATCCAGTGCTAACAATACTCATGGAGCCTTTCCTGCACATTGACCTATGCCCTGTTCTGTTGATTCTGTTTAGGAATAAATGAGAGACAGAACTTTGCTTTGTATACATAGAAAATTCCATAGCTGAGAAAAACTTCTAAGATCAATCCCATTCACAACAGCTAGAAAAACCATCAAATACCTTGGAATAAACCTAACCAAGGATGTCAAAGATCTCTACAATGAGAAGCACAAAACCTTAAAGAAAGAAATAGAAGAGGATACAAAAACTGAAAAATCTTCCATGCTCATGGATTGGAAGAATCAATATCATCAAAATGTCCATTCTCCCAAAAGCAGTGACAAGATTCAATATGATAGAAATCAAAATACCAAAGACATTCTTCTCATACCTGGAAAAAGTGATGCTGAAATTCATATGGACGAACACAGGAGACCTTGAATAGCAAAAGCAATCTTGCAGAACAGAAACAAAGCCAGAGGCAGGTTTCTCAAAACAGCATGGTACTGGTACAGAAACAGATGGATAGACCAATAGAATAGAATAGAAACACCAGAAATCAACCTAAACATCTACAGCCAACTTATATTTATATAAGTTTATATAACTTATATTTGATCAAGGATGGATCTTAAACCAATTCCTGGAGCAAGGACAGTCTATTCAATAAATGGTGCTGGGAAAACTGGATTTCCACATGCAGAAGCATGTAGTAAGACCCCTACTTTACACCTTACACAAAAATCCATTCAGCATAGATTAAAGATCTAAGCCTATGACCCAACACCATCAAATTATTAGAGAACATCAGAGAAACCTTGCAAAATATAGGCACAGGCAAAGACTTCTTAGAAAAGATCCCGGAGGCACAGGCAGTCAAAGTCAAAATTAACATTTGGGATTGCATCAAATTGAGAAGTTTCTGTACTGCAAAAGGAACAGTCAGGAAAGTGAAGACGCAACCAACAGAATGGGAAAAATATTTGCAAATTATGCAACTGATAAAGGATTCACAGCCAGAATCCACAAAGAGATCAAGACACTCCACAACATCGAAACAAAAAAAAACCCACTTAAGAGATGAGCCAAGGATCTCAATAGACATTTTTCAAAAGAGGATATCCAAATGGCCAACAGACACATGAAAAAATGCTCAGGATCTCTAGCAAGCAGGGAAATTCAAATCAAAGCCACAATGAGGTCTCACCTCACTCCGAATAGAATGGCTTACATATGGAAATCAACTAACTACAGATGCTGTAAGGATTTGGGGAGATAGGCATACTAATCCACCTTCGGTGGGAATGCAAACTGGTAAATCCACTATGGTAGACAGTTTGGAGATTCTTCAGAAACCTGAATATAGGCCTACCAAAGGACCCAGCCATCCCATTCTTTGGAATTTATCCAGAGGAAATTAAATAATCAAATAAAACAGCTGTCTGCACCTCGTTGTTTATTGCAGTTTAATTCACAATATCTAAGATGTGTAACATATGAGACTGAACAAATATCACATGTTCTCCCTGATCACATAAACTAGACCAGTGTCTGCTATTAATAACTGACAGAATTAAAAAGCAGAGAATGATCCAACATGGGAAGTGGGATACACAGTAGACTCATAAAATGGCAGATGCCCTAAACAGCCCCCAGGCCTCCGAATCAGCCCTTAAGGCATTCAGATCCAGCTAAAAACCCCATGAGAGTTTCGTAGGCATGGAAAGCAAAGACACTGTGGCCAGGAAATTATGTAAATGAAAGATCTCTGTGAGTGAGATCCCAATGCATAAGAACGGGCCATCAAAGAAGGAGGTACCTTTCTCTGAAGGAAGGAGAGAACTTCTGCTTTGATTATGGCCTTGTCTTAATAAGGTTGGAGTTTGTGAACTCAAGAGGCTTCCATAGTCTTGGCAGCTCATGACAAGAGCCTCCGGTGATTACTGACATCATAAATAAGAATGCCAATTGTTAAATCAACAACGGGAGTCACCATGCACTTAATCCCCAGGTAGGATCTCTGTCTTTAATGTGTTATACTATGT